GCCCCGGCACCTCACCTGCCCCAACACCTCACCTACCCCGGCACCTCACCTGCCCTGGCTGCTCACCTGCCCCGGCACCTCACCTGCCCTGGCACCTCACCTGCCCCGGCTGCTCACCTGCCCCGGCACCTCACCTGCCCCAGCTGCTCACCTGCCCCGGCACCTCACCTGTCCCGGCTGCTCACCTGCTCCCTTCCTCATCTCTGAATCAGCGCCCATCAGTGGCTTCGGTGCGACACTCCTGTCCTCTGCTGCACCCTCCTGCTCTCCCTCACTTGCTCTGCTCCAGCCACCTCCCTGCCTCAAGCTGCCTGGCCGGCTCCTGGACAGGCCTGTGCACAGGGCCCTCCCAGGCTCTGCATGACCGACGCTTTCTTGCCATTCAGGCCTCTGCGGAGGTGGCATCTTCTCCCGAAGCTGCCTCAGCCGTCTACACCGTCTTACCTCACCGGCTGCTCACCTACCCTGGGGTGCTCACCCTGTGTTTATTTACAGTGCTGCGACTTTCAGCAGTTACTTGTCTTCTTTTGTTAAACTAGGAGCGCCACGGGTGCAGTGATTTCCCCCCAGCATTTGGCGTGAAAATCCACACGTACGGTGAAGTTGAAAGACTTGCAGTGCGATGCCCGGCCCCGGCACCCCTTGGCCCATCATTGGCTGTTTCATTTTACTCAGATGTGGACAGGGTGATCCATCTCGCTCGCACCCGGACCCCGGGCTGGCGGGAGAGGCTCTGGAATCCCTGGGCAAGGCCCTGTGGAAGACGCTGCTGTCCTGTCAGCATTGTGGTCTGGTCCTCATTTAGGCCAGTGGCGTTGTCTCTCTTGCTGACCCTCTGGCGTCCTCGTGCTCAGTTAATGCCGTGTATCGGTCCCCTCGTCCGGAGCTTGTACACTGTGTCCGGCAGGGCTGGGACAGCCGGGCGTTTTGGCTTGAATGGCCTATCCAGGTTTGGGTCATTTAGAAAGTTGGGGGAGGCCTGAGGGATAGGAATAGGGGAGGATCTGACACAGAGGTTTTTGCAGTGAAACCTGGAAGAGGATTTTGGGGGCGGGGCGGGGGGGAGGGACTAAGTGGCACCCTCTGGGGAGCCCCCCACGGCGCTGGTGGTGCCAGCCCTCCCTCCCTGTTGCTTCTGGGCTTTTTCCTCTTTTCCCGTTTCCTGAAACTAGGTCATCGGCAGGAGGTGCTGGAGACTTGAGGAAGGAGCAGGGTGTGTGTGTATGTGGGACACGGTGACTCGTGCGGAGACCCATCCCCGTGGCTGCAGGTGTCGGCTGGCAGTTGGAGTTTTCCTCGTAACTTTCTTTGGGAAGATGCTGAATTGATGGAAGAATGTCAGTGACCCTTCCCGTGGCTGGCAGGTGTCTCTTAGGCCTCAGCGGGCATGTCCTGGGGCCTCTCTGTCGGGGTGGGATGCGCTGGGATGAGCATGCAGCCTGCTGCTTGCCGCAGGCCTCTGAGGCTGCTGTGCGACGGGGCCTATTGGCTGGGGGGGGGGCCGCCAGCCGC